TGCTCTGTTGGTGTGAGTACTGATCACGTCTGGGTGCTCTGCTGGTGTGAGTTCTGATCACATCCGGGTGCTCTGCTGGTGTGAGTTCCGATCACGTCCGGGTGCTCTGCTGGTGTGAGTTCCGATCACGTCTGGGTGCTCTGCTGTTGTGTTCTGATCACGTCTGGGTGCTCTGCTGGTGAGTTCCGATCACGTCTGGGTGCTCTGCTGGTGTGAGTTCCGATCACGTCCAGGCACTCTGCTGGTGTGAGTTCCGATCACGTCTGGGTGCTCTGCTGGTGTGAGTTCTGATCACGTCTTGGTGCTCTGCTGGTGTGAGTTCTGATCACGTCCGGGTGCTCTGCTGGTGTGAGTTCCGATCACGTCTGGGTGCTCTGCTGTTGTGTTCTGATCACGTCTGGGTGCTCTGCTGGTGTGTTCTGATCACGTCTGGGTGCTCTGCTGTTGTGAGTTCTGATCACGTCTGGGTGCTGTGTTCATTAGTAACTCGGCAACCCACTCTTGCAGTTTGTTTTGGCAGCGTTGGTCTTGTCTCTCATCCTGCCAAGGAGCAGCTTGTGAGTTCTGATCACGTCTGGGTGCTGTGTTCATTAGTAACTCGGCGACCCACTCTTGCAGTTTGTTTTGGCAGCGTTGGTCTTGTCTCTCATCCTGCCAAGGAGCAGCCAGTACATCAAGTGGATCGTCTCCGCGGGGTTGGCCCAGGTCAGCGAGTTTTCCTTTGTCCTGGGGAGCCGAGCGCGAAGAGCTGGCATCATCTCGCGGGAGGTGAGTGTCTGTCGCTGGCTGTGCTATGCCCTATGTGACAGGCTCAGCCTCGGGGCAGATGTCCCAGGCGCACACGTGATATCCACACTGTCCGTCTGGGCTGTGGCTGGAGGCTCAAAGTGCCGGGGACTGAAGTGTTGGTCTCAAAGTGGGCATGGGGGGGCCTTGCTGCCATCTCCTCGTTTAGGATGTGGAATATTTTAGAAGAAAATGACTAGTTAATACTGCTCAAACTGTTACCATTATCTTTTGCAACAATTTTGACTGTCACTGTGATATTTCCTGTGAGAGGAAGAAAACTAATTTTTAAAATCTGAGCTGCTAGCTCACAACTTGATGCAGGAACGTCTAAAACATGAGACGCAGGTGTGGGCTGTGTTTTCCTAAGGCTCTACTGCAGCCTCAGGAGTGCCACCTAGCACTCATAGTGCAGCGTTGTCTCTGTCCCGCAAGTGAGGGATACGGGAGAAGTCTTCTGGTCAAGTGTAGGGGGAGTAATTGCTGAAGAGTGGGATTCTGTACAACAAGCTCCTCTGCACCTGCCCCGAGGCTGTCTCAGTAGTGTGAGGGATTCTGTGCTGGTCAGTGTGACTAGTTAGTAGTGTTACCTGATGATTCATCAGGACCAACAAATCTCAGTCCCTCCAGCATCCACATGTCCTCTCACCTGTGGCTGTACTCTGTGCCTTAAAGAGATAGCAGTGAACATCTGGTTTGCAGGTGACCTGCTCAGTGGGACCGTGCTCAGCCAGGTGCCTGTACAGGTGTGCCTCCTTATGCTCAGTGTGAACACGTTCTGCATTTACCTGTTGCAGGTGTACCTTCTTATACTGAGTGTGACCACGCTCAGCCTCCTACTTGCCCCGGTGCTGTGGAGAGCTGCAGTTACGAGATGTGTGCCCAGACCGGAGAGACGGCCAAGTCTCTGATGCACCAAGATGCTGGCTTTGGACAGGGGAACCTCTGCGGGCAGCGAGTTCTTCTCAGGGGCCTGTGACTGCTCATCCCTGTGGCCTCATGCCCTGGGGACAGAAAAACACTAGCAAAGAGCAGTGTCTTCATGCTTGCCTGGCTTCTGCAGAATATTCCTGTCGTGTTTTAGAATTTTCCAGAGTGATTTATTTGCAGTCAGTCGGTTATGTGCAGTGGAACTATAACACTGCATTTTACAAATCGCCTTGACTGTTTTGCCTGGACGTGCCTTTTCCCAAAATTATTAACTTTCTATTGTTAATTCATCAATTCATGACTGTTTTGGTAAAAAAATAAATTAGAAAGGCTTTTTATTTATTGTACAACTTTAGGATTATAATCTGGTCAAATATTTGTTATTAAACATTTCTGTGATATGAAATTTTAATTCTGGCAATGTGTTTGGAAGCTTACTCTTGATCCTTAAAGCCTATGTTTTCTAAAATGAGAAATATCTTAAAATGTCTATTTGCCTTTTATTATAACTATTTTAAATAAAACACTTTTATGTCAGTTCCTGTTAAGTATATCACTCAAAATGTTTGGTTTTGAATCATAAGAACGTGCATTCTTTAATAAAGGTCATTTATGATTAGGGTATAATTAATTGAAATTTATTGAAAATCTTTTTAAATTAGATTTTTGTGTTATGTTAATTTTTGCACAAAATTTCAGCCAATTTTTTTTGTTAAGATGATTCATATATTACTGTATCACTTTCCAAGAGGTCAGATTAATGCAGTGCTGTTGGAGAAGCTTAAGTTCTAACTTTTGGTGTTTAAAAAGTATATTTTGGTTATTACGTGCTCCATTCACACAGATGAAGGTCTGGCCCTTACAAGGAATTCCCTAAGGGGTACTGTCTTACCTTGTTTTGTGCTGCTAGAACATAATACCTGAGACTGGGTAATTCATAAAGAACAGAAATGTATTCCAAATAGCTTCGGACGCTGGAAGTGTCAGACCAAGGCACTGGCAGGCGAGGCCTGGTCTCTGCTGCATCGTCACACGGCAGGGGCGCAGGAGGGAGAGAACCCCTCCGAAAGCCCTCGTTACAGCAGCAGCCTTAGTCCTCCCATGAGGCCCACCTCCCAACACTGCTGCATCGGGGATTACGTGTCTGACCTGTGAATTTTGGAGGGGACAGAAGCACTCAAATTGTAGCAGGTACTGGTTTTTTCAATTGCATTTTTTTGTTTTTCCCAAAGATGCATAAAGTTGGACGTGTGAGGAACGACATTGTCCTAATAAAGAGTCAGAATGAGGCAGCTCGGCAGCACCACTTGTGCACAGGTAAAGTTGTGTCTATTTATTATTTGCCACATAGCAAGTGCTTTGAACCAGAGCTTCCCTATAAACATTGGCTTTAAGAGCCCAACCTTTTGAGAAAAATACTTGAGGTAGAGGGACAAAAATGTGAGGTGTGATTGTGGATTGCATGTGTAATGGTGGATGGCTCCAGTATAAATTAAAACTCTGAAGTAAGCTGCGTCTATCTAGTCTGAAGCAGACTTGTGGAGAAATACTAGTTCGTGCTCATTGTTAGAAAATAGCGTTGGTTTTATTCATTCCTAAACGAGTCAGACATCACCGGTGTGCGTGAGCTGTGCGGTGCGGCCTGTGCATCTGGAGTGGACCCGCCCTTGTTGGCTGCCAGGCCTCTGTCGTGGCCGCAGTGCCTTGTCTGTCTGCAGGTCCTCTCCATCAGGGCGTTCAGGATGTGCTAAAGGCCTCCCACGGAATTTCTTTCTTTTTCTGTCTCCAAAACCTGTGACCACCAGAAGCTTTTTAATTTCGTTGAACTTTCGTTGAGTGAAACCTATTTGTGCAGGATGACAAGTTCCCCCAAAAACATCAAATCAGTATCACTTTGTAGGAATGAAATGCTTCATAAAGATCTATGCTCGATGACAAGGGAACTCATCTTCAAAAGGCTGCGCCACATAGAGAATTCAGGAAGCTGGCAGAGTTACTTAGGTCAGGCCCTGTACCTTAGCTACCCAGGAGGCCGTTCCTCAAAGCTCCACCAGGCCACCCCTCGTCCTCCCACCTGCATGCCCACCTGTCTACCCCTCCTCCCACCTGCACACCCACCAGGCCCCCCTCCCTCCCACCTGCATGCCCACCTGGCCCCACT